TGTTTCATGTACCGAAATGCCTCATTCGTGCGCGTTCTCAATCGTCAATCTCGAGATCAACATGGACGATTTTTGGCATCATCATAATCTATTATTTTCGTCCCACAAAGATAGAATTATTCCTTTTTTCTTTCTTTATTTGAATACGATCGATGTAGATTTTTTTTTTTTTCAGTGTTACTTCCGAATGCAAAGTCTTTTCGTTTGATTGCAATGATGGAATTTGGATAAAAAGAAAATGAATTATAGAGAATTGAATTGCCTAGTACTGCAGGAGTTCAATTTCCAGATAGCACATCAGTGGAGAGAAAGCAATCAAGTGGCTGATTATTTAGCTGGGACGGGAGCTAAAGGTTTGTCGAAACGGTATACCACGTGGACAGAATTGCCAAGGATTGCTCGAGGTTTACTTCGTTTGGATATGATGGGGTTGGCTTATGTGAGAAAGTAAGATGTGGTAGATGATGGTTGCTCGAGGATTACTTCGTTTGGATATGATGGGGTTGGCTTATGTGAGAAAGTAAGATGTGGTAGATGATGGTTTGAATAGTTGCTAATGTTATGGTTCTACTTGTATCGATCGTTTTTATATTTTGTCATTTAGATATTCATCCGCCATAAGTGAGACAATCAATAAAGTGTGGGTGTTTTGTTAAAAAAAAAAAATTGCCTAGAATTTGTTTTATTGGAAATTGTAATTAATTGTTTTTTATTTGTATAATTTGAAAGTTTGGTGTTCGTTTGTCTTTGTTTGTATGAAAATTGTCAATAAAAGTGATAATTTTTTTTACCATTGTGTTTAGAATTTTTTTCAGTTGTCAAAAAAAAAAGGTGGAAAACCAAAAACCATCAAAACAACAAGAAAACAATTTCATTGAAAAGTGGGGAAAGGAGGCGCGTGAGTGAAAAATTGGAAAAGGAATTCCATGGAAAATGTTGGCTACCAAACAGTCCAAAACTTGGAAAATGGAACATGGAAAATTTCAGGTTTCAAACGGGGCCAAAGTTCATAATGCACATTTTTATTTTTCTATTTCTGGACAGAGTGATCCTCCTCATCCCGTCAGAAATTTTTGGAAGACAAGTCATTTATCGTCTCATCCACTTATTTATTTTTTAAAAACATGTTTTAAAATGATAAGCATGAAAGTAAAACAGAAAATAAGATTTGGAGCTGCATCAGTATCAACCACGTGATATTCTTGTTCGCTTCTGTTTGTTTGGTAGGGATTAAGCCCTTATTTAACTTTCTTTAAAATAAAATAATTTATTTTTAACCACATATTAATACAATAAAATATTTTGCATGTAAACTCAAAAATTTTCCCACTTTCTAACCACACGTTTTTCAAAAAAAAAATCACAGTTTAAAACATTATTTTTACACAATAATCGACATCAAATGGCGATTAAAATTGTAATTTTAATTTAAGTCAAAATCAATAATTAATTTTAAGCTATCAATTTTCATTAAAATCTACGTGTATTTAACTATTTATTACGCAGTTCAAGTAGTGTTTTGCTTCTTTCAGGAAAGTTTTGAAGAAGTTTTATTTGAACACGTTTCAAGTCGCCGAGGTCTGATTCACGGTTCATTAAATTACTCTATTGTGTACAGTGATCTCAATAATGGATGTTGAAAATTCAACAGGTAGCTTTCATAGTATATTTCAATTCTTCCGTTTTCCCCAGGCGTCTACCAATTTTCTTGGGATCTTGCTGGAGTTGGACTTGTTTGGGCGTGGAATTTTCAACGGTAGAGAAATTATTGGCTAAGGTCCCCATCGTCTTAGAACGTGAAGTCATCAGTTGTCAGACTTTTTGGTTCCCCTGCTTGGAAGTTAATGTGCGTGTTATATGTTCAAAAAAATGCACCATTGAGGAATCCCGGATTCTCAACAAAAAGAGAAGAAAATGCATGAAATTTCAAAGAATAATATTTGTTTTGCGTTCTGTTTGATTCCCTTGTTATGTTCATTATTACAAATATCGGCTTTGACTTACAGTATTACAACATCGCAATCTCTTAATGATGGCGAAACACTTGCTTCAGAAGGGGGGAGTTTTGAACTCGGTTTTTTCAGTCCAGGAAGTTCCAAGAATCGGTACTTGGGAATTTGGTACAAGAGTATCCCAATCAGAACTTTTGTTTGGGTTGCAAATAGACAGGATCCTATAAAAGATTTATCTGGCACACTGATGATCAATAGCAGTAGCAGTCTTGTACTTTCAGATCGGAATAATAGTGTTGTTTGGTCCACAAAGCCATCGAACGGAGGTCAGAAACCGATATTACAGCTTTTAGATTCGGGAAATCTTGTCCTGAGAGATAACAGAGATGGTAATACGGATGTTTATTTGTGGCAGAGCTTTGATTATCCATCAGATACGCTGTTGCCGGGCATGAAGCTTGGATGGGACTTGAGAACTGGTCTTAGTAGGGGCCTGTCTTCATGGAAGAATTTTGACGATCCATCTCCTGGAACGCTAAGTAATGGGATAGAACTTGGTGAATATCCTCAGACAGTTATGTGGAAGGGCTCCAGAAAGTTTTTTCGTGGAGGTCCATGGAATGGCCTGCGATTTAGTGGTGCTCCTGAATTAAGGATCAACCCAGTATTTGGATTTGAGTTTGTGTCTAACCAGGAGGAAGTTTACTACATGTACCAGTTGAAGAACAAATCAGTAATCACGAGGCTTATTTTGAACGAAACCACTTCCTCACGACAACGATATGTATGGGTGGAAGCAGAACAATCTTGGAAGCTTTATGCATCAGTACCACGAGACTATTGTGACAATTATGCTCTCTGTGGTGCAAATGGAATATGTTCCATCAGTGATTCACCTGTTTGCAAATGTTTGGAAGGTTTTAAACCAAAGTCAGCTCAAAGCTGGAATGCTATCGATTGGTCACAGGGATGCATACGCAATGAGCCACTTGACTGCCAGAGGAAACACGGTTTCATCAAATTTTCGGGCTTGAAACTGCCTGATACTACACATTCTTGGATAAACAAGAGTATGAATCTCAAGGAGTGCAGAGAGACCTGCCTGAAGAATTGTTCTTGTAATGCTTACACAAACTCAGATATTAGTGGACGAGGCAGTGGATGTGCTCTTTGGTTTGGGGATTTGGTTGATATTAGAATCTTTTCTGATGGTGGGCAAGAACTTTATATAAGAATGCCAGCTTCAAACAGAGGTATTTTCATTCTTGGTTCTAGTGCCTTGGCTTGTTCAGTACAGAAGAAACTTATTGTTTGCTTTATTCAAGTAAAGCTCATATCTTGGCAAAGTTTAGTGTCAAGGTGCACTTCCCCGTTTGTTCAGCTGATCAAAATTGCACCATTTTAACTGCAGATAGATCTCCAGTGAGAGTAGTAGTTATAATTGTAGCTGCCATTGCTGCAATTTGTGTGGTGCTTCTTGTCAGCTACTGTGTTTTCAGGAGAAAGATGAAGTCGGAAGGTAAATTTTTAGAGACGACCCTATCCTTAGGCAATGCATGTAAATTAAGTTACCTGCTAGTGTCACCTGAGCTTCTTCGCATTGAAAGAAGTTGAAGTTTGCGAAAAAATTACACAAAAAGAAAGATTTTATTTTCCTCATTAGTTTATAGGCTACTGAATCAATCAATAGTTTCTTGTTGTTCTGTTTGATTAACAACCATTGACGACTAGCATTACCAATTGCAGGCATTGCTTTTAATTTTATATTAGAATTGAATTTGCAGACGCAAAGAATGATTTCTTTATAAATAGAAGATTAATGATAATTTGAAAATTTCTTTAGTCATTAAGCATTTTCTATATATACCAACCTCTTAACTTCTTCTGGAAACAGGGGAAATCGGAGACAGCATTAATGAAGGCCAAAAAGAAGATCTGGATCTACCTTTGTTTGACTTGGCTACAATATCTAAAGCCACTGATAATTTTTCAGTGAAGAAGAAACTTGGCGAAGGAGGATTTGGACCTGTCTACAAGGTAAATTTAACATGATTCCTAGAAGAAAACTGAGCTTTTATTGTACTTAGTGAATAGATAAAGGGACAGAGGAAGAAATTTAACTTTTTGGAGAATCCATAGGTTTTCCAACAATTTTTAACTTTCAGGGAACACTAGAAGATGGGCAGAACATTGCTGTGAAGAAGCTGTCAAAGAATTCAGGACAAGGACTAAACGAGTTCAAGAATGAAGTGAAATTGATAGAAAAACTTCAACACAGGAATCTTGTAAAGCTTCTTGGTTGTTGCATTGAAGGCGAAGAAAAAATATTGATTTACGAATACTTGCTCAATGGAAGCTTGGATTCATTTGTTTTTGGTTCGTAGCTGAAAATGAATCTTCTGAAATTTACTTGAACTAATGAATTGGTTTCCTTGATTCAGCTACTTATATATTGTTGTTTGAAAATTTAAGTTGGAAAACGAAATAACTTCTTTTTGAATGGTCAGATCAAAAGAAAGGGAAGCTATTAGATTGGCCAAAGCGTTTCAACATCATATGCGGAGTTGTCCGGGGACTTCTCTACCTTCATCAGGATTCAAGACTGAGAATAATTCATAGGGACCTCAAAGCAAGTAATGTGTTACTTGATAAAGAGCTGAACCCAAAAATCTCCGATTTTGGAATGGCTAGAACCTTTGGAGGCGATGAAAGTGGAGAAACTACAAAGAGAGTTGTTGGAACATAGTATGCCCAGACAGAACTTTATACGAACTACTACAATTGCTATGTTTTCTTTCCTTCTTAATTGTTCATTTGTGATGTTTGGCAGTGGTTACATGGCCCCAGAATATGCTTTTTATGGGTTGTTTTCGGTTAAATCAGATGTCTTTAGCTTTGGCATTCTACTTCTGGAGATATTAAGTGGTAAGAAGAACCGAGGGTCTGATCTTCCACAGAGCCAAAATCTTATTGGATATGTAAGTGTTAAAACAATCTAAATCTTTAAATTCTTAACGTGTTCAAATTAGTAACATTTTCTTCGTTTTAGGCGTGGAGATTGTGGACAGAAGGCAGGCCACTTGAATTGATTGAGTCGTTGCCGGAGGATACAGCCATTCAACCAGAAATGTTAAGATGCATCCACATAGCTCTCTTGTGTGTCCAGCAGTCTCCAGAAGATAGGCCAACTATGTCATCAGTGGTTCTGATGTTAAATGGAGAAAGTACACTGCCTCAGCCAAAACACCCTGGTTTTCTGATAGACTTGATTCCAGGTGAAACTGTCCCCTCATCAAGCAAGGATCCATATTCAGTCAATTATTTTTCTATTACATCGTTGGAAGCTCGCTAATGGATGAGTTCACGAGGTCAGTGTAACTATGTAATGTGCAGTATTAGTACACATTTGGAATCAAAATCATCGTTATAATGAAACAACACTTATTTGATGTGTCAACTAAACAGTTTTCCCCCCTATTACATGCTTCGTAGACTGACTGACAGCACCACACTATCAAAATTTTAGCTTCAGTTTTCTCTCTTAATATTATCCAATTCAGTAGACTAAACATGGAAGCTGGCTAACAAATGGATTGTCTGACGAGGTTATCAATATCAAGGTGCTGCTTTCTTTTTCTGGTGTAGAAATTATGAAAAGGAAGCATCTCTCTAATAGGTTCGTGCTGACAAATAATTGACAATCTAGTTCTAAGTTATATGGGTACAAAGCAAGAGAGAAGAGGTACTTGATTTTAACGATGTCCTTGCGAATTCAGCAACTTACGATTGGAGTGATCGTTTCTTGTTTTACGCCAAAACAATTTACAAAGTACAACCTGAATACTTGCATCATCCTAAAATTTCAGCATTTTAACAGTACTCTTTTTCCCTGAGGGCAAGTTCAGCATGCAGGATGACTTGATAATATCCAGTCCTCTTTCTTTTTTGGTCCTATCAAGTCTACATACAATTCGTAAATGAACTGTACATCGTGAGTGAATTTTCATATTAATCACATTAAACACACAAATTGGGAGATGTAGAAAATTGGTCAGGCACTGACAATTGGATATCTTTTAGTTAGAGATTTTCTTGGGAGAGCAGTATTTGTTCGATTTTGAAAGTAACAGGGTTCAGAGCTTGAAATATTGCATATCAAGTAGTGGATCAACGAGTATAAAAGTGTGCCTGTAATAGCTTTCACGAGATTTTCTTTCTTAGCTACATCACCTTTTTAAACTCTCCCCTTCACAGGAAATGGAGAGTGGACAAATTACCAAATGATCATGAAGTTTTGGGTAGGTTTATAAAATAAATAAATGGCGACGTCTTGATTTGATTGATGCAAATTTAGTTGAAGGGTTCTCACTTGGAGCATTATAAATAGAATGAATAAGATTTTAAATAATTTCAAACATGATATTAAAAAAAAGTAAAAAAAAAAAAAATTGTGTGAAATGATGTCAACCCTGTGAATCAAAGATGTGAATCAAAGATTGCAGTGATTCACCGGATCTCCAGTGGGAATGATATGGTCATCGAGCCTCTAACAACGTAATAGAAGAATAATTGGCTGAACCACGTTCATTGCAGCTGGATGGAGGACAGGTTTCACCTGGAATCAAATCTATCAGAAAACCAGGGTGTTTTGGCTGAGGCAATGTACTTTCTCCATTTAACATCAAAACCACTGATAACATTGTTGGCCTATCTTCTGGAGATTGCTGCACACACAAGAGACCTACGTGGATGCATCTTAACATCTCGGGTCGAATGCCTGTATCGTCCAACAATGAATCAATCAAGTCAAGTGGCCTGCCTTCTGTCCACAATCTCCAAGCCTGATTCAAAACAAATGTAACTCAAATCAAACACGGGAAGAAATTTCACGCTACAGTTGTTCAAAACTTACATATCCAATAAGATTTTGGTTCTGTGGATGATCAAACCCACGATTCTTCTTTCCACTAACGACCTCCAGTAGTAGAATGCCAAAGCTAAAAACATCGGATTTTATGGAAAACAACCCATAAAAAGCATATTCCGGGGCCATATAACCACTGTCAAGCATCAAATGAACTATTGCGTAAGATTGCAATGAAAACATTGCAGCTGTAGTACATGTGCATATAAAAGTTTTGTTTGGACATACCATGTTCCCACAATTCTCTTTGTTTTTTCTCCACTTTGATCACCTACAACAGTTCTTGCCATTCCAAAGTCGGAGATTTTTGGATTCATCTCTTTATCAAGTAACACATTACTCGTTTTGAGATCTCTATGAATAATTTTCAACCTGGAATCTTGATGAAGGTAGAGAAGTCCCCGAGCAACTCCACAAATGATATTGAAGCGCTTAGACCAATCTAATAGTTTCGCTCTTGTTTGATCTGATAGAACAAGCATAAGTTATTTTTTGTCCAAGAAAATGATTAGTTCAAGTAAATTGCTGAAGAATCTTTTCAGAATACAAACCAAAGATAAACGAGTCCAGACTTCCATTGGGCATGTATTCATAAACCAATATTTTTTCTTCGCCTTCAACGCAACATCCAAGAAGGTTTACAAGATTTCTGTGTTGTAGTTTTGCTATCAGAATAACTTCATTCTTGAACTCATTTAGTCCTTGTCCAGAATACTTTGACAATGTCTTCACACCGATATTTTGACCGTCTTCTAGTGTGCCCTGAATGTTATATATTGTTAGAAAACCGATGTTTTCTCCAAGAAAATTAATTTTTAGCTCTACTTGATCCATTTACCAAGTACAATAAAAGGCTAATATTCTTCTTGGGATCATGTTGAGCTTACCTTGTAGACAGGTCCAAATCCTCCCTCACCGACTTTCATGTTTACAGAAAAATTCTCTGTGGCCAGAGATAAGGTAGCCAACGTAAATAAGGGTAGATCCAAATCTACATTTGCCTCTTCACTGATGTTGTCTCCTCCATTTTCCTCTGTTTCAAGAATATAGTTGGAGATTTTTATACTTAAATCCAACTTTGCATTTCAAAGGGATAGGCAAATCTCGAAAATTTACCTTTAGATTTCATCTTCCACCTGCAAACACAGTAACTCACAAGAAGCACTCCGCAGAACCCAGCAATGGAAGCCACAATCACCACTGGTATTTTCACTGGAGGTTTGTAAGCTGTCACAAAGGTGCAATTTTGATAAGTAAAACCAACAAGAAATGCATGTTGACGCTACATAAAGTTTTCCGAGCCACTGCAACCAAGAATGAATGGCATACCTTTGTTTGAAGCTAGTATTCTTATATAAAGATCTTGCCCACCGTCAGTAAGCTCTCTGATATCAATCAAGTCTCTAAACCAAAGGATACATCCACTGCCTCGTCGGCTAATATCTGAGTTTGCATAGGCAATACAAGAACAATTCTTCAAGCATGTCTCTCTGCATTCCTCGAGATTCATACTCGTGTTCACCCAAGAATATGGAGTATCGGGCAGTTTCAGGCCTGAAATTTTCATAAAATCGTGTTTCCTCTGGCAGTCTAGAGTCTCATTGCGTATGCATCCAAGTGACCAGTCTATCGAGTTCCAGCTTTGAGCTGACTTTGGTTTAAAACCATCCAAACATTTGCAAACTGGTGAATTACTTATGGAACATATTCCGTTTGCTCCACATAGAGCATAATTGTCACAATAGTCTCGAGGTATTACCGAATAAAGCTTCCAAGATTGATCTGCTTCCACCCATACATAGCGTTGACGTGAAGAAGTGGTTTCATTCAAAACAAGCCTCGAGATTACAGATTTGTTCTTGAGCTGGTACATGTAGTAAACCTCCTCCTGGTTAAACACAAACTTATATTCAAATACTGGGTTGAGCCTTAATTCAGGAGCACCGCTAAATTGCAGGCCATTCCATGAACCACTTCGATAGATCTTTCTTGATCCCTTCCTCATAACTATCTGAGGATATTCAGCAAGTTCTATCCCACGACTTAGCTTTCCAGGAGATGGATCATCAGAATTCTTCCATGCATATAGTCTCCTATTAAGACCAGTTCTCAAGTCCCACCCGAGCTTCATATAGGGTATCAACGTATCAGATGGATAATCAAAGCTCTGCCACAGATAAACATCTGTATTTCCATCTATATTCTCTCTCAGAACAAGATTTCCCGAATCTAAAAGCTGTAATATTGGATCCTGAGCGCCCTTCGATGGTCTCGTGTACCATACAGCACTACTATTCCGACTTGAAAGTATAAGACTACCGGTGCTATCGATCATCAGTGTGCCAGACAAATCTTTTATAGGATTCTGTCTATTCGCAACCCAAACAACAGTTCTTTTTGGGATGTTCTTGTACCAAATGCCCAAGTACCGATTCTTGGAATTACCTGGACTAAAAAAACCCAGTTCAAAACTTCCCCCTTCTGAAACCAGTGTTTTGCCATCGTTAAGAGATTGGGATGTAATAATGCTGTCTGTCAAAGCCGATATTTTCGATATTGAACAAATTAAGTGAATCAAACAGAATATAAACTTACAAGTATTCATTTTCAAGATTCTCCTTTGAGAAGATGAGAGTTCTCAATGGCGCATCTAGTCGACCATAAACTCATAATTCGATTGATTCACTTTCCAGGAAAGTGCTGAAGTTTCTTTATGGTTGGTTGAAAGAGAAAAGGGTCTTGCTATGGCTTTATCCGTAGGGACTCCTGTCGGCACAACTTATGTACCTATAGCATTTTCCAAGAGAAAATCCTGCAAGAGTCCAAAAAAGTAATGGTTAGGGACGTGAGAAAAGCTTAAAATATTATACTAAGGCCTTGTATGGGAG